ACCTGTTGTGTCCCAGACTTAAACAACAGACAAACAAGGCCCTTTACATCTTTGCAACTGCTGCAGGGCTGACCAGATCCCTGGTGGTTATGGGGTTATCTCAGGGTGAATGAGGCAACACATATCCTGGGCCACAACAACAACACTGCTTTTGCTATTGTACAGCTTTATTATTGCCACTAGGTCACTAGGAGACATGGACGACTTGGAAAGGAAGTCTCGGTCAGATTCACCATGTATTTGCTGCAGTCATATCAGTTTCATTGACCTAAAAGTCTCAGGAGGATGAGCGTGCACGATGTTGTGACTTACCACATTTCAATCCCCTGCAGAGTGGAGCTATAGCCTGACAACTAGGGAAACAGAACAACTAAAGTAAAGTGACTTTTCACACCTTCAGGGCATCCGTCAGCTCCTTGAGAATTACTCTGGTCAGCCTGTTTCCGTTCAGGGCCAGGGTCTCCAGATGTGGCAGTGCAGCCAGTGTGGGCAGCAGCAGGAGGAAAGCCTCGTCCGTGAGCTCAGTGAAGCCCAGCTCCAGGCTGACCACAGTGGACACATAGCGTTGTAAGTGGGCACACAGACGCTCCATGTCTCGAGCCGTGAGGGGGATCCCAGAGAGATCCAAGGCACCGCTGGGTGGAGGTGCTGAGAGAACAGCCTTCAGACTGGAAATAAAAAACAAATAAGAAATAAAGTTATAGTTTTGTAAACTGGTTTAAAACAACAACACAATCACCACCTTAGCCTTGTTTCAATCCTCCCTGTTAGGTTCAAAGTTCAAAAGATAAGGTTCATTTTTTCCATAAAAATTGGCACATTTTTAATTGAAGAAAATTTCTCTTATCTCTTATTAACCAATTTCATTAAATACACTGATTACTACATTTAAAAACTCTAACACATGGGGTGTCAAACATATGGCCCGCGGACCAAATTCGAACCGCTTGATAATTCTGAAAACTTAATTGTACTTAATTCTACTGTAGACTGTTGAAGACCAGAGAAAATTAATTACGATTGGATTCATGTCATCAGAGACCTGGCCTTGATTGTTGTTTGCCATAATGGAAAAAAATGAAGACTAATTTTCGTGGCCTACAAATCCAAACCTCTACAGCTGTAAGACTGTGAAAAAAGGATGAGGATAAAACTGTGGCGTGACGTCTAATGAATGTTTTTCCAGCCTTAAGTGACAGAAACAGGGCAGGGACACTGTGACCTGACTGTTTCAGATCCCTGCCAGGCTGATAACGCTCCAGTAGCTGCTGATTGGCAAAGACACCAGTGACCCACATTCTGAGTTCTTGTCCATGACAAACATTTGAAATGTGTTTTATTCCTGTCAAATCTTTTTACTTACGCCTGTCATCTTTTTTCTGGTTGTCAAGGTGATGGATCAAACAGAAAATATAGAGGGAAGAAAAACCTGCAGATCATTTTAAATGTGAAGAAGCCTTTTCACACCAGTCTGTGATGCTGCCATTTCAAATTTCCTTACATGAAATCGGTTGTATATATTAATTTTTAGCTATTTTATTTCTTTAGCACTATTCATACACAAAGGAATTCATAGATCTTTAACGAGACAAGGAGTTAAAATGGAACAATTTAAAAGTGATGTTTTAATCACCATAATTAGTTTGTAAAAATAAATAGATTACAAATTTCAACCCAAATAATAACATTTATCCGAATTATGAATGATGCCTAACAGGAAAAGGCTGCAGTAAATAATAATGTTTACAGCCCTGTAGTTATAGTGAGTTGACAGTTTGTGCACCCATCAGGGAGTTTGTTCCACGCTTGACGCTAAATACAGAACTGCCTGGTTCTGACCCTGGGAACATAGTAGAAAAAAACTAAATTGTAGAACTGAACCTGCCCCGATGACCTGGGAGGTCAGCATGTTTATACCCCAACGAGCAGCTCTGATAAATGTTTAGACAGAAATTCCTTAGTTCCTGCTTTTACGAGTTAAACAAATAATACTTGGAGTCAAAGGTTAATTTTAAAAGCATTCTAGCAACGAGCAGACTAGTCACCCTTTGCCTCCTTCAGTTCGTTTAGACACTTAAATAAATCACAGGCAAACCCAGGTGTCACATAAATATCACAATTTAGATTTTTGTTGGCGGCCACTGTAGTTTAAATCCTATTTCTGCCCTGACTGATATGAATATATGACTCAGTGATGAGTGACTTAGAATTTGGGTAAATAAGTTCAGAATTTTGTTTTGCTGACAGAAAATCATTGCAGCGTGGTCTTGGACCACACCCAGCACCATGATCACGGTCAGTACCTCCGATGACCACACGGAAACTATCAAATTAACTATTTCTTTTAACTAGCTCCCTCCAAATTAATGCAAATGCAGTAAAACTGCATGGTGAGGCTTACGAGGCAACTCCTCAGTGTCTTGGTAAGTGGTTGGAAATCACTTCCCACAGAGGCCCTGGAGGTTTGAACACCGAGCCGACTCCGAGCACTGGACCATTTCCTCCACTCAGAGACAAAGTGTTGTAATTAGTTAACACAGCTGGGGCAGTGATGCCCTCAGCTCTCTGCCACCACTGATCTAATTATTGCAGCTCATATTCTCCTCCTGGTGTTCCACTGCTTCTCCCTCGTCCCAGTAGCAAAAACACACACTCTGCTCCAGAAACTGAACGTCTGGACCTGGGTCTCGTCGTCTCCCTTTCCCACATGTCAGGACCTTTCCCTGACTCAGTGAATTAGAATGTTAGAAATGTTTTTCCCAATGTCACCACACCGAGCACATTTCAAAGAAATAAACCAAAAAAAGGCAAAGTCAAGCTGTGCAAACAAAAAACAAATGCTGAGAGAGCTCATGATGCATTTGGCCTCAGACCAGAATCCCACGCTGCAGAGAGAAACACACATTTGCTCTCAGCCGAGGTCAGACCCTCTGCTGAGACGTCCAGCAGGAAGATGGGATTGTTGGCTGTCACATACACATGCAGAGCCTCAGAGTCCTGTTCTGTACAACAGAACAATGTAACCTCCATGTACATTCTCTCCGAACTGTAAAATTGGTTTAAAACAACAACACAATCACCACCTTAGCCTTGTTTCAATCCTCCCTGTTAGGTTCAAAGTTCAAAAGATAAGGTTCATTTTTTCCATAAAAATTGGCACATTTTTAATTGAAGAAAATTTCTCTTATCTCTTATTAACCAATTTCATTAAATACACTGATTACTAAATTTAAAAACTCTAACACATGGGGTGTCAAACATATGGCCCGCGGACCAAATTCGAACCGCTTGATAATTCTGAAAACTTAATTGTACTTAATTCTACTGTAGACTGTTGAAGACCAGAGAAAATTAATTACGATTGGATTCATGTCATCAGAGACCTGGCCTTGATTGTTGTTTGCCATAATGGAAAAAAATGAAGACTAATTTTCGTGGCCTACAAATCCAAACCTCTACAGCTGTAAGACTGTGAAAAAAGGATGAGGATAAAACTGTGGCGTGACGTCTAATGAATGTTTTTCCAGCCTTAAGTGACAGAAACAGGGCAGGGACACTGTGACCTGACTGTTTCAGATCCCTGCCAGGCTGATAACGCTCCAGTAGCTGCTGATTGGCAAAGACACCAGTGACCCACATTCTGAGTTCTTGTCCATGACAAACATTTGAAATGTGTTTTATTCCTGTCAAATCTTTTTACTTACGCCTGTCATCTTTTTTCTGGTTGTCAAGGTGATGGATCAAACAGAAAATATAGAGGGAAGAAAAACCTGCAGATCATTTTAAATGTGAAGAAGCCTTTTCACACCAGTCTGTGATGCTGCCATTTCAAATTTCCTTACATGAAATCGGTTGTATATATTAATTTTTAGCTATTTTATTTCTTTAGCACTATTCATACACAAAGGAATTCATAGATCTTTAACGAGACAAGGAGTTAAAATGGAACAATTTAAAAGTGATGTTTTAATCACCATAATTAGTTTGTAAAAATAAATAGATTACAAATTTCAACCCAAATAATAACATTAATCAGAATTATGAATGATGCCTAACAGGAAAAGGCTGCAGTAAATAATAATGTTTACAGCCCTGTAGTTATAGTGAGTTGACAGTTTGTGCACCCATCAGGGAGTTTGTTCCACGCTTGACGCTAAATACAGAACTGCCTGGTTCTGACCCTGGGAACATAGTAGAAAAAAACTAAATTGTAGAACTGAACCTGCCCCGATGACCTGGGAGGTCAGCATGTTTATACCCCAACGAGCAGCTCTGATAAATGTTTAGACAGAAATTCCTTAGTTCCTGCTTTTACGAGTTAAACAAATAATACTTGGAGTCAAAGGTTAATTTTAAAAGCATTCTAGCAACGAGCAGACTAGTCACCCTTTGCCTCCTTCAGTTCGTTTAGACACTTAAATAAATCACAGGCAAACCCAGGTGTCACATAAATATCACAATTTAGATTTTTGTTGGCGGCCACTGTAGTTTAAATCCTATTTCTGCCCTGACTGATATGAATATATGACTCAGTGATGAGTGACTTAGAATTTGGGTAAATAAGTTCAGAATTTTGTTTTGCTGACAGAAAATCATTGCAGCGTGGTCTTGGACCACACCCAGCACCATGATCACGGTCAGTACCTCCGATGACCACACGGAAACTATCAAATTAACTATTTCTTTTAACTAGCTCCCTCCAAATTAATGCAAATGCAGTAAAACTGCATGGTGAGGCTTACGAGGCAACTCCTCAGTGTCTTGGTAAGTGGTTGGAAATCACTTCCCACAGAGGCCCTGGAGGTTTGAACACCGAGCCGACTCCGAGCACTGGACCATTTCCTCCACTCAGAGACAAAGTGTTGTAATTAGTTAACACAGCTGGGGCAGTGATGCCCTCAGCTCTCTGCCACCACTGATCTAATTATTGCAGCTCATATTCTCCTCCTGGTGTTCCACTGCTTCTCCCTCGTCCCAGTAGCAAAAACACACACTCTGCTCCAGAAACTGAACGTCTGGACCTGGGTCTCGTCGTCTCCCTTTCCCACATGTCAGGACCTTTCCCTGACTCAGTGAATTAGAATGTTAGAAATGTTTTTCCCAATGTCACCACACCGAGCACATTTCAAAGAAATAAACCAAAAAAAGGCAAAGTCAAGCTGTGCAAACAAAAAACAAATGCTGAGAGAGCTCATGATGCATTTGGCCTCAGACCAGAATCCCACGCTGCAGAGAGAAACACACATTTGCTCTCAGCCGAGGTCAGACCCTCTGCTGAGACGTCCAGCAGGAAGATGGGATTGTTGGCTGTCACATACACATGCAGAGCCTCAGAGTCCTGTTCTGTACAACAGAACAATGTAACCTCCATGTACATTCTCTCCGAACTGTAAAATGCAGGAACCCGACTCCTCTCAAAGTAGCATTCTCTGTCAACAACATGTCTGGAGGCCTAAGTGTATTTCCTTCCTACACTTGTTTCACCCTCTCTGTCTGTTCCTCCTGACAGAAGTGTCATATCAAACAAGGACATGTACACATCAATCAGGAGTCATATCAAACAAGGACATGTACACATTATACTGAGGATGTCCGATATTAACTTTTTGACAATATCCGATATGCCAATATTGTCCAAACACTTAATTTCCGATTCGGATATAAACCG